GGTTGCTCCATGAATTTCTGGCCGAATTTCAACACTTTGATTTCTTCAAGTTTTATCTTTCCTAAAAACAATTGATCAAAAATGTAACCACCATCATAATCACTGATATGCATCCATTTGCTAGGGAACGAATGGATGCATTCCTCCCAGAATGAATGGAGCTGTGGAATGGGCAATCCTCGGAGAGGTCGATTTTGGGACGTTTCGAACCGTTCTAGCCAACTTCGGGAGCTATATCTTCGCAGTGCTTGTCTGCATAGAGTGGAAATGGTTCCCAAAACAGGATACCCAGCGAATCCAACGAACCGGTGGTAATATCTATTGAGAGAGCTCATGCTTTGGTCGAGATGGTGAGTCCAGGCTGCGAGGTAGCCACAAGGCGTGCTGTGTGTTGTTATCGTGGTGGACTCATGACTCATCTGCACTAGTGACCAACTAGGGAACGTCGTGCCTATATGGTCGAAGAATGAAACTTCTGCAGATGGTCAGGCGTGCCCTCTCGAACATGATCAGTCGATGCCTGCTGTTTCCATCGAGTCTCCATTCTACTACAGCCCCTTTCGCTCAGGTATCGACTCATGGAGCATAGGCTGCGTACAGGTGTTTGCTATAGTTTCCTGCTAATAGCGTCAGGATGCACTTCCTATTCGTTGCGCAAGGGGTCCCCATCCATAGTGACTGGAGGTCCATGATGAGGTCGAACTTTGCAGCTCCTATCTTACTTGCCGATGCTATTGAGCCAATAGCTCAGTGCTCGAACAGTAGCAAAGACTAGGGCAAACGCAGCGCTGATCTTGCCTACCGCGCTCCTTGCAAGGTTCTTCTTGAAATTGTCGTAAGGCATAATGGTTGGGTTTGGTCGTTGATCTCTTTTGATTCCTACTTAAATATCCCGTTGCGCATTTGAAGCTTCTGAAACATCCTGGTTGAAGGTCCTGATGTGTTCTTCAACATATCAACTTATTTCGATATGAAGTTAATTTGACATATTGAAAATTGAATTTGAACTAAAATCGGCCAGAGATTATGGATCAACCCAATAAATGCAGCAAACTATGAGTTTCATTGTGGCTCATAACAATTTGTGGATTCGGCTACAAAATGTGTTCTTAGCATATCTATGGCGAACCTACACATGAATAAATCAATTGCCCCTTCTGCAGTTGACTCGAAGAAGCTTTAGAGCGCCGACGGATTGATTTCTGTGCCGTGCGAGACGAGTGACTGCTGCAGATCAAGAGATGTCGCTCTTAAGGCGTCCTAGAACACGAAGCGGTGTCGGAGTAGTTGTTTCTGACCGCTTCCATGGCTCGATTGTAAGCGTTGATCGCTATAACGACCGCCTAAGATCGTTGTCGCCATCGAACGCCAGCGATACCATTTCTTTTCTGCATTTGCTCCGCAGACTGGCTGCTCTGAGCTAGCCAAAGACGAGTTCTGGACCCTGCTGGATGAAAAGACCGCAGATGTACCGTCAGAAGAGGCTGTCATTGTCGCAGGTGACCTTAACGGTCACGTCGGCACTGCGAAAGACGGGTACAACTGTCATGGTGGATTTGGATATGGGTCACGTAACAACGATGGCGAACGAATTCTTGAGTACGCAAATTCGCACGATCTCACCATCGTGAATACAAATTTCCTAAAGCCACAGTCACCTCATCACTTTCTACAGCGGTACTGCCAGTACGCAAATCGACTCAGACAACGCGATCGAGGGCTTGTGAACAGACGCAAAGGCTGGTGCCGTATGAGACTGTCACCACGCAACATCGACCGCTGATTTGCACGCTGAAGATCGCTCCTCCGAAAATGAAACAAATCGAGCGGTGTGGACCAGCGAGAATCAAGTGGTGGCGTTTGAAAGAGAAGGAGACGGTCGTGATATCCAACATTCAGTTGCCGGCAGTCACTACTGTTGATGAAACTTGGAAAAGTGCTGCCGAGGCGATAATCCGTTCTGCTCGTTCCGAACTCGACTGACACAACTTGCGGAGTTACCAGGTAGCAAAGAAGTCGGCAAAGAACGTCGTTGCTGCCACAAAAGCTGCCCATTTTGCTGAAGTCAGTGAGAAACTCGAAACGCGCTACGCGTGAACGACAATATTTATGCGCCCTATACGAGGCCCGCCATCGCCAGTCCGAGGACATCGAAGTTTTTCGGCATCAACGACGAGAATGGTCACCTCATGATGGACCGCAAGAAAGCGGTCAAGCGTTGGCAGGATTACTTCGAGAACATCTCAGCAGTAGGATTTGCTCACCCAGCCCAGTGTCACCTCATGTCTCACCAGAGCATTGTCTGTGCAAAAATCAACTGAGGAAACAAGAAAGAGCTCTGAAAAGTTGAAAATCATGAAAAAAAGCCCTACAAGCCACGATGATTTGGCGGCCGACATATGGAAGTCGAAATGCTGGTGTCCTGCTGAATGGTTGACCACGTTTTTCAACCAGATCGTAGCAGAGAGAAAGGTGCCTGAGAGTTGGCAGCAGAGCACAACGATTCCGATTTGGAAGAAGAAAGGCAGCCCTGCTGACTGTACGAGTTACCGTCCAATCCGCCTGCTCTCGCACAGCATGAAGATCTTTGAGCGAAATTGTGGACGGCCGTATTCGTGACATCGTGCAGCTTTCCATCAACCAGTGTGGATTTGTGTCAGGCTGCGGCACCATCGATGCAATACACGCAGCCCGCCTTCTGCTGGAAAGACATCGCGAGAAAAGAAAAGCTGTGCATCTTGCCTTCCTGGACCTGAGAGAAGGCTTTTGATCGCGTTCCGAGAAGTCATATGGTATGCTTTACGACAGCACGACGTTCCTGAAGAGCTCATTGAGTGGGTGCGCATACTTTACTCGAACTCAAGGAGTCGGGTGCAAACGGTGGCAGGTACTTCGATGGAATTTCCCATCTCGGTCGGTGTGCACCAAGGCTCTGCGCTTTCCCCACTCCTATTCATTGTCGTCATGGATGCCATTACACGAGGTCTTCAGAAGCCCGTTCCATGGACGCTTCTTTATGCTGAAGACGTGATGCTTGCCTGCGAAGGCAAACATTTACTCGAGCAACAAGTGCAGACTGCTGGTGTGACATGTTTAGACTCAGGCTAAACATCACAAAAGTGTGTACCTGACAACAGAATCGAATGATTTTGGTTCTATCAAGCCCAGCGGAGCTGAGCTCACGCGCTCAGACACTTTCAAGTATCTTGGATCGCCAATCGCGTCCGACGGCAGCCCAACCTTGAGTAAAACCCCCGATTGTGCGGCATGCTCCAAATGCCGTCCGCTCTCTGCGAATAGGAAAATACCAGAGCGACTGAAATCGAAGATCTACAGAACCGTCCGTCCGACCAGTCGCCATTTACGGAGCAGAGTGCTGGCCCGTGACCAAAGAGGTTGAGGCTCGTCTTAGTGTGATGGAGACAAAAATGCTCCGCTGGACTGCCGGGGTCACGCGATTGGACCACATTTGGCAACGATTACCACCAGAAAACGGTTCGGTGTGGCTCCCATCGCTGATAAGATGCGCGAAGCTCGCCTGAGGTGGTACGGTCACGTCCTTCGCGCTAATGATGAGAGTGTCCGTAAGATCGGTCTAGACTTTAACGTGCCAGGAAAGCGGCCAAGAGGACGCCCGAAGCAACGATGGCTTGATACGTTGCATGAGGATTTGAAATTAGTTGGCCTTCACCCCGATCAGGCACATAATCGGGAAAAGTGGCGTCATCATACCAGGAAAGCGGACCTGGCCACCGAGTGGTACAAACGCTGAAGAAGAAGAAGAAGAAGACTGCTGCAGCTGACTCCAGGGTCAACCGTCACGTTCGAACATTTTCGGGATTTTTGCGACCCCCTAGCTCTCGAGGGGGTCCAGTTGCGACCCCCTGTTTTTGTTAATAAGAGTGCTAGACATGAATCCGTTGCGCCAGAAAGCGTCTGCGTTGCGGCGTCAGCCTTGGAGCGCGGCAGGTATCACCCGGGCGCTGGAAGAACGGGACGCGGCGAAGAAAAAATTTTAGAGGGGAATAACTTTCTTGGGACGTACTTTTTTGACTTGTTGAGGTAGATTTTGACTTGTGCCTGAGGTGCGCTTTCAGAAATGCCTAACTCCGGAAAGTACCTCTGCTAGAAGTGGAAAACCCAAAATCTAAGAAGGTGCACCTTCAACTTTGAAGGCCCATAATAATCTTTCGTATGCGACCTTTTGGAAAGCTGTCAAAAGTTTCAGAAACTTCAAATATTTCTCTATCAAAACAGTATAAAAAGTTTAGTGATTGACCCCTTTTTCAAAAAATTGTCCCGTTCGAACATTTTCCGTGCAAAAGCGAGTTTTTGGGCTTTCAGCGGCCATAACTCACTTCATTTTCAATTCTGTGATTCACTTTTTTCATGAGAAGAAAGTACAGGATTTTCTCTTTCTAACAAGCACCAACAAAGCCGATTTCATCAAAGGTTTCCATTTTTCGACGAAAAATCCACACGGTTCGAACATTTTTTCCCATAGGTTTTTGAGCAGCACATGCGAGTTTTTGAGCTTTCAGCAATGATAACTTCCTTCAAAGAGCTTGTTGGAGAGGGATAAAGACATTTGTGAAGACTACGAGATTTCCGCTTCCTTACATGTTTCACAGTACATTGGAAGAAGCGTCCCCAAAAAATAGGTCTCCAAAGAACTTTGTTTTCAGCCCCGAGAAGTCAAACCTTTCATAGGGATGCATCCAACTGTTCTTTACTTCCTTAAGAAACACTGTAATTTGCCTAAAACTGTCTCTCTGTGCATAATAAATCGAATCTAATGCGGTCTGCACAAGCAATTCTTGCCCTCGGATACGCCACGCACGCGCCTGTGGCTGGCAGTCCTCGAAATTGCGACCCCCTTCCGACCAAAATGCGACCCCTTCGTTCGAACAGTTCGAACGGACGGTTGACCCTGCTGACTCTCCTCACCAGGACACATTTGTTCTCAGAAGTTGAAGAGTAAATGATAATACGAACCAACCTTGTGGGCAGTTTATACATCCGATAAGGTCGCTATGTCTCATCATGTCCACGTTGTCAATGCCGTCGAAGCCATCCACACCGGGAATTCCGTCGTGACCGTCAGGTCCTTCAATTACGAAAGTTAATTCCCGGTCTGAGTCCTATGTGCTGTGCATTTCTTTCAAAAGCATTTCACAAAAAGAGTGCACCATTTAACTGCAATATTACGTACGTACTAGCAGAGAAGAGCGGAGACATGTCTGTTCCTAAGTGAAAACTCGAAGATCTTAAATAAGGAACTAGCCAGCAAAACTAATTTGAAACGACTAGTACCCGGCTCTCCTGGCGGTCCCGGTGGTCCTGGAGGACAACTGTTGTAGCCGAAGCATTGGCACATTGTCGATACCATAAAATCTTGTTTCGATTCGGGTGACTTTATAAAGCGTGGCGGAATAGCCACTGAAAAGTTTTCTCAAACAAACACGAAATCCTCAAAACCCCAACGGAGCGGTCCTACCTTCCTCTTCACTACTTTGCGTGTTGACTCCAGTGGCCGCGTAGCCACCATACTGACGCCGAACTCTGTTCGATGGAGTGCCCACACCAAGTGTGAGCATGGCTTTCCAAGAATCATTTGTAAGATACTGCAACCAGAACTCAGTTGCTTGAATAGCGTCGTTATCCATCGAGAATTGAATTAATTTCAACTTCTGACCTTGAACTTATCTATTTCTGCATCCAATTCTGACCACAATGAGGAAATTTCGGATTGCATAGAATAAATAGCCGCGAGTGACAGTAGCAGGGTAACTCCCGAAGCGAATACGGCTCCGCAGGTCGCCAGTTCGAGGCCCATCTACAGAACATGAATTATTGAGCTCTTCGGCTTAAACCATCTCTTACGAGAGCAATTGCAAACTTAAAGACTGTTAATTAAAAAAAACATTATAATAGTGCCATTTAGAGGTATAATGGATAATAATACACAAGAACCTATCAAGCCCGGAAAATAGTCTGCATAATGTTGCTACGGATATAGAGAGATAAAAATGAACTGACGATCACAGGTTGCTTCACCCCGCAACTGATCCAGTTGCGCAATTAATTGAAAGGCCATTTGCCATCACATAGGTGTTGTTATTGCGGAAGGCAGGGATACACAGTAGACTTTTTGTTCAGTAGTCACTGAACAAAAAAAGGCGTTTTTGGGAGATGAACGAGTTCGCGAGAGGTGACGGAGCAGAGTCGGAAACGAGAAATTACCAAAACATGCAGAGCGCAAACTCATGGGAGCAACCGTCACCATGACCGTCACACCGAAAAGAAGAGTGCCAACGTACGTTGTGCTTCACCAATAACCCTTTGCGACCCTCCCTTCCGCCAACCGCAGAAGTATCAGTCTGACCATCTTTCAGCCTGTAAATGCTTTCAAATAAATTTCGAATGCAGGCAATCGATGTATGGGCCACCATCCCAATGGAGAGAGGTGATGGGATAAGGAAAATAAACGCACTTTCAAATGCTGCGCCGCTTTACCTTGCTGGAGGTAACATTGATACCGGCCACGGCCGGTATTGACGGATATCAGACTGGTCCGGGGGATAAGCAAGACACCGACCGCGACACACATGCAATACCATGCCGTTTTTGCGACTGGCGAGCTGGCATAGCTGGCGTGCCATTTGGCATCCCTGCGCCACCTGGTGGCGGCATGCGACCGGACACTCCGCGGGTCTAGACGCTTTTTCAAAATTCGTTATGAAGAGTTCTTTTTCACCTTTGTGTTCTTATTATCATATCAGGTCACAATTATATGGAACTGCATCATTTTTTTGCCTATTTAGCTTGTCATGAACATTCCGATTAGTTGAATGATTACAAAACAGCGATAGTGAAGAAACCAAAAATCTGCTTTGACCAACTTCTGGTGAAAAATAACGATGGCAAACAAGTTCCATTACCTCAAAATCTGCTTAAGCATGTTTATTGAACAGCAGACATTTACTCAAATTTACAGAACATTTGTAGACTCATTTTTACCGACCTTCGAGCGAAGTCTGTATATTACACCCATCGTTTGCCATACCGTTTTTGATACCACGGTAGGACAAACATGGGTAGTGCTTCAAAATGAAGGTTATTCGGAATGATGTGTTCCAAAAGCTTCGAAAATTTACCGCCGTAAGACGTGTAAGCCAAAAAAAAAAAGCGATCCGGAAGCCTTTACGCTGATGTTTTGCTGCACGTCATTTTATCCACTTGAAGTTTCGTGAGACCATTACTTGCTATTCCACTTTACATGTTTACAACTGAGTGACTGCTGAACTTGACTGATAAGGATGTTGTATTGCGGCAACAAGTTCATTCAGAATCTAGCTCTTCTTCGTTAGAGACATTCACCACTCATTATTAGTTCAATAATCTGAAGATGCCTTTCGAATATTTGGCCTCTCTAAGTGAGACAAACATCCACTATCCTGCAAAAAGGGATTAAAAACAACAGAAAGAAAAAGTAGAAAAAAAGGAAGAAGAAATTTAGAAAAATTAATTCGAAAATCGTGCGCTACCATGTGGCGCACGTAGTACGCAATCTGTAAAATTTCGTTTATTAAAGGAGAAACTTTTAGTATAGAGCCTTGCATCACTAAAAATGGAAGGGTTTTCAGCGAGGAAAGTGCCGGGAAAGCGCATGGGAAACGACTTGAGAAGATCAATGAAAACAAGCAATTCAAAGAGCGTGCCCTTTTACGGAAATATTTTGACCGGTCACTTTGCGAGACCACTCTAATTCTTAACAATGCGGCTTAATTTTTTTCAGAAATGAATGATGCATTTGGAAAAAAGACGGCGCTCGGCCGTGTTCGTCGTCTTAAGATCCCCCCGCGAATGTTCGCTCTTCATTGAGATAAAGCCAAGAATAAAAGATGTATTGTTAGGCGCTGGTCGCTCATTCAAGCATCAGGTATACCGCCGACCTCGCTCCTTCTAGGAACACTTGTTTCGAACTTACACCTATATAGATTGGAAGCGTCCGAAAGTTCTCCTGGTGCCCGTCCTGGCGATATGCAGCACGAACCCGTCTCTGTATACCACAACATTATCAGTAAAAACTGATTCCGCTGAATTCCACGGTTTTCGAGCGCAATTTCAGGAACGCATTACTCTTGTTTTTGTTGCTAACTGCTTTGGAGAATTTTTTTCACGTTTGACACGACAACCCCTTACGTGCCCCCCGGGCCTAGGGGGAGGGATTATGTGTGGTAGCAGTACATGTCTCACTACTAGATGGCCACTCCCACCTGTGACTCTTCCGCTTAAGGAGTAAAATGAGAAGAGATAGTACGAAGACCTCAGGAAAAGTCTGCCACATTTGGGGAGCTCTGAAGCATCGAAAGGTAACACGGATTCTGGAAAGAGAAGCGGTGCTCCGCCACCCAAAAGAATACCTTTCTTGAGATTTATTGAAAGATCGGTTCAACAGATGTTTTTCTTCGAGCTCAGAAAGCGTATGATGGATGGCTGTCGTTAATAAAATCAGGTCAGCCACTAAGGGTGGTCGACAGTCTAAAGAATGAGATGTTATGACAAATTGTTCGCAATATAAAAAATAAATTTCAGATTGTCTGCATGATAAGGCAGCAACTTGCGCAATAAATCTACTATGAGACGTTGCGGAACGGATGATTATGAAAAGTGTTCGAATCGGAAGAAGAGAACAGAGCCTAAAACAGTTCACTCCGGAACCTGCTTCACGACGACTGAAATCCCAAAAGTTTTAGGCCATTTACTCGAACGCCACGTTCATCAAGGAGTACAATGAATAATCTTTAGCGCTCCGGCCATAAACGAATTCCGAGCTAATCACGATATTTATTGAGTTCTTCAGTGAAACAACGCGTTTCTATTTAGAGGCCTCGCTCGCTTAAGCATCACGAGTGTGCCTGAAAACACCAGCGCGTAAATAAGAAGCGTTTTTCATGATGTCTTAAATGCGGGGAAGGGAGGGAACACAAATTAATCAGTTTAAAAAGGAAGGGGTACTTATAAATATTAAAGGACGCCACATTGAGTCAAATGCAGCATTTTTTCGCAGAATTCCATGAACCCTACCCGAGAGTGAGTTCCGTCGGAGGGTACTGCAGAGCCCCGCCGAGGCAAAGATGTGAAAGATAACGAACCCACTGGTAGACAACTACGGAACGTCCTTCTGCCACCGAAATCAATTGACCGCGACCCCGCTCAATTCCCTCGAAACATGCTAGCACTTTTGAATCAGCGGCACTGCAGGCCATTTTCAAGCCCCCTTTCAAGCCGTGTCAACTGTGCGAACCGCGTCCGCGACACCCGCGGTTCGGCTCCAAGCGAAATTCACGGTCTATACGCAGCCTGCGGCGCAACCCAGAAGTAAGGCAGGAACCCTGAAAGGTCAGCGCCCTTGAATAGAACATTAAATCCCATCCTTCATAATGTCGAACATTAACTATCTGAGTGCCTTACTCTGAAGCTTGGAGAAATCATTTGAAAGGAAATATAATGAGTTCTATGGATCAAGTGAGGACGGTAGTAGATTGTTATTTCAGTCGAGGGAAGCAGAATTGAAAGTGTCTGGAACCGTTCAACGAAAAACGATCGAAATGTCCAGGGTGCCACAAACCAAGCGACACTGATTTGCCCCATGCGTTCACATCATCTGGAATTTCGTCGCACCGAGCTGCCGATGTTAACGAAAAGCTTTACGGCAATTCTAAGCTCCCCCGTAACAGAAGCAGGCCTTTCTTTCATTGCCTCCGCCGTCTTTAGAATATGACGTTACCTGCCGCCACCGTCGAACCTCAACGAGGCTCACAGTAATTGCTCCGGCCTGAAAGCTGCTTCATAATTTCTTCAATGGATTAACTGCTTAATAGCTTCCCAGAGACATTAGCTGTGACTATGCAAAACCTTTTGACCAGCATTTCAGGGACGTCGTAATGGTCTATGGTACCTCGACGACCCCGTTGAGCTCGTACCGTGAACCATGTTTCCGTGGGAAAATCTTCTGATGTCGTCGGTGTAGAAGGCTGTCATGTAAGGTTTAGATAGATTAGAAGGTGCTCTTCAATACTAAATTGGGGGCAGTCGATTTGATATTAGCAAAGTGTGATTAATGCTGTCTGAAATGTGGAGTCAAGTGTCTCTTTTTTTTGGCCACCCCTGTATAGTTAAATTATCGTGTACGTTGCAAAGATTGACAATCCCCACAACAAAAAGTTTTCAAAATTGATGGTGTGACAAAACGCTCATTACATATGACATGACAAAATGAAAGAAACAGATGTGAGAAGTGGACTGCCACTGAAGAAATAAAAAACAAAACTCTCGAAAATACCGAAACAGTAGCAGTTTCGGGCGGTGGACGAACACACCAGACTAGAGAAAGATATACTCGGAGAAGACAAACTCCTAGACGAGATAACAAAGCAAGACGCAAAGAGGAACGCAAAAGTAGGTGTGGATAGAGGCGGGTGCAGTGAGCCTTTCACACAGGCCCCTCACGCGGCTGCCACGAGTTCCGAAGCGCGATGCTGGTAAAACTTCCGCGGCTATGGGCTCAGATACATCAGTTACGGGTAAAAGGAGTACAGAGTACTGGTTGAGAAATGTGCTTTCACACTAATACTTGATAGTTGATTGTACTAGATGGCAATCACAGGCAATCGATCTCAAGCATAATTGTAACGATGTTCATATGCGCATTCAACCAACGTTGATATTACGCAAGAGGAATAGAACCTACGGAAGCGGCTGAACTTCAGGATTATTTTTTCTTCTAGATGCCCGATTCAAGACAATGATAAGAGCTCCACCATAAAGGTT